AAATGAGCTAGGTCTTCTCATCTAACATCTCCATAAAGACATGGCTTGACCTGTTTGGTGTGGAGGAACTGGAGTGTCCTCTACATAGCCCTGACCTCAACCTACTGAACACCTTTGAGACGATTTGGAAGAAGTTAGATCTTCTCATCAACATCTGACCTCAATCCTCTGGGATAAATTAAAACATGCCAGGTTTTCTCATTCAATATCTCCATAAAAACATGGTCTGAATAAGTTGGTGTGGAGGAACTCGAGTGTCCTCTACATAGCCCTGACCTCAACCCTATTAAACACCTTTGAGGTGAATTTATATGAGCTAGGTCTTCTCATCTATCATCTCCATAAAGACATTGCTTGACCTGTTTGGTGTGGAGGAACTGGAGTGTCCTCTACATAGCCCTGACCTCAACCCTACTGAACACCTTTGAGATGATTTGGAAGAAGCTAGATCTTCTCACCAACATCAGTACTTGACAAAGATGGGCAAATATTCCAACAGACACCCTCCACAGACAAAATCTTGTTGAAAGCCTTTCCAAAAAAAGTGGAGGAATTTATCCCCCCAAAGAGAGCCAACTCCATATTAATAGACATGGTTTTGGAATTGGGATATCCTTCAAGCTCCTATAGGTGTGATAGTCAGGTGCCCACAAACGGTTCACCATACAGTGTATCTTTTTATATCGAAAATGTTTCTATTTGGCTGGAGTTTACTCTTTACATAACGTAAGCTCTTTGTGTAGTCCTGTGGGAATGGTTATTCTACCGGGTCACATTCTTGTCCCAAGATTACAACTACCCTTGAAGTGATTTTTACTCACTTTTCGGTATATGAGATTACTCGGATCTCATCAGCCTCTGGAAGACAACAGGGTAAGATGTCAGGTTTAATTTCAGGAAACCGTCTCGGGAGAAGTGAGAAATTTGCGGTGACAGTGGTCAGATGATTGTACGGGATGACAATCAGAGCACGCCTAATAGCATTCATTTACCGTGTGGAATGGAATCATGTGTATGTCGCGGCTCGAGTCTTCCTTGGAGCTGGCTGAGACTGATTTATCCTGAGCGGGCATGGTTCTGCGACGAGTGCACTTCCCTTCCCGCCGCAGGTCAGAAAGCGTGTTGTCGCGGTAATTGGTGGAATACAAGAGGAGAAAAATGATTGAAAATACCAGAAAAAAAGGATTTCATGGTTAGTCACCTTTATTGTAAATCCGGAACTGCAACCTTTACCTTCCTTTGGCTTACCTCTTTTGCTCTTAGTTTTGGATTAAGCCTCCAAAGCCGTGTGATACCCCTTGCGTCCAGGGGCAGACTGACAACTCATGGGGCCCCCGGGAAATAGGGGATCATGGGGCCCGTGTCCTTGCCCAAACTCGCAAGGGAAGCCCTCTCTCCATTGGCCTCCATCACCAGGTACCTGATACTGGCTTTCGTTTCTGGGGATGTAAAGATGAGTGTCTCTCAATCACCTGGGGGGGGTAGTGGAATTCTCTCCCGGGTGGGGGGCAGGGGTGGACTGACAACTCATGGGGCCCCCGGGCAATAAGGGATCATGTGTCCTTGCCCAAACTCAAAAAAGCCTATGAAAAAGGTACCAGGGGCATCTCATGAGGCCCCCTACTGACCCCGGGCCCTCGGGCAGTGCCCGAGTTTCCAAATGGTCAGTCCGCCCCTGCTTGCGTCTTTACATTGCCGCTTTGATGCAACTTTGGATCGGTACGGCTTGGATGCGATTTTTTGGTTTTGACTGATAACATTGAGATGCGACTTTTGAGCGTTTACGTTGCAGTCTGTGGCACTCAAGGCGCATGAAAGTCGCATCAAAATGAGTGCAGGAAACTGTTTAAAGTCGCTGCGTTCTCGCATAGATTTGAACGGATTCCATTGAAATACATGGGCTGTGACTTGTCATGTGACTTCAGGGGGGTGATTTACTAAAACTGGAATGTGGTGTAGCTGTGTATGGGAGCCAATCAGCTTCTAACGTCAGCTTGTTCTATTAAGCTTTGGCAATAAAATTAAATTCACTGCCAGTGACTGCTAATGAGTGGAGGTTAATAGTACCGACACCGTTGCTGGGGGCTAATATTGTGTCCACTGACATCAATGCTGGGGGTTGTTTTTGTGTCCACTGACACCAATGCTGGGGGTTATTATTGTGTCCACTGACACCAATGCTGGGGGTTATTATTGTGTCCACTGACACCAATGCTGGGGGGTTATTATTGTGTCCACTGACACCAATGCTGGGGGTTATTAATTGTGTCCACTGACACCAATGCTGGGGGTTATTATTGTGTCCACTGACACCAATGCTGGGGGTTATTATTGTGTCCACTGACACCAATGCTGGGGGGTTATTAATTGTGTCCACTGACACCAATGCTGGGGGTTATTAATTGTGTCCACTGACACCAATGCTGGGGGTTAATATTGTGTCCACTGACACCAGTGCTGGGGGTTAATATTGTGTCCACTGACACCAATGCTGGGGGTTATTATTGTGTCCACTGACACCAATGCTGGGGGTTATTATTATGTCCACTGACACCAATGCTGGTTTTTTTTTTTTGTGTCCACTGACACCAATGCTGGGGGTTATTATTGTGTCCACTGACACCAATTCTAGGGGTTATTATTGCGTCTGCTGACACCAATGTTGAGGATTTATTGTTTGTTGAAACCAGTGTTGAGGGTTGTTTTTGTGTCTACTGACACCAATGTTGGGGCTTATTAATGCATCCACTGTTGCCAATGCTGGGGGCTATTGTTGCATCCACTGACACCAGTGTTGGAGGTTATTATTGTGTCCACTGACACCAATGCTGGGAGTTATTATAGCATCCAGAGACATCAGTTGCATTCAGTGACACCAGTGCTGGGGGTTATTATTGCAGCTGCTGTCACCAATTTTAGGGCTTATTAATGCATCCACTGACACCAATGTTGGGGGCTATTATTGCGACTACTGACACCAATGCGGGGATTAATATACTCCAACTTTCTACAGAGTGCACTGCAATACTTCACATAAAATGTAGCAGCACCTTTTTTTTTTTGGGTGTTGAGGTGTGAAAATGCGCTGCTTTTGTGCGGCCCTCAGGAAGTGTAAAGGGCCACACTTGGGGCCCTAAGGAAGTCTAAAGGGCCACACTTGGGGCCCTCAGGAAGTGTAAAGTGCCATACTTGGGGCCCTCAGGAAGTGTAAAGTGCCATGCTTGGGGCCCTAAGGAAGTCTAAAGGGCCACACTTGGGGCCCTCAGGAAGTGTAAAGTGCCATACTTGGGGCCCTCAGGAAGTGTAAAGTGCCATACTTGGGGTCCTCAGGAAGTGTATAAGGCCATACTTGGGACTCTCAGGAAGTGTAAAGTGCCACACTTGGGGCCCTCAGGAAGTGTATAAGGCCATACTTGGGGCCAGGGGTGGACTGACCATTTGGAAACTCAAGCACTGCCCGAGGGCCCGGGGTCAGTAGGGGGCCCCATGAGATGCCTCTGGTACATTTTTCATAGGCTTTTTTGAGTTTGGGCAAGGACACAGGGGCACCACGATCCCCTATTGCCTGGGGGCCCCATGAGTTGTCAGTCTGCCCCTGCTTGGGGCCCTCAGGAAGTGTAAAGTGCAATGCTTGTACCCTCAGGAAGTGTAAAGGGCCACACTTGGGGCCCTCAGGAAGTGTAAAGGGCCCAACTTGGGGCCCTCAGGAAGTGTATAAGGCCACACTTGGGGCCCTCAGGAAGTGTAACGGGCCATACTTGGGGCCCTCAAGAAGTGTAAAAGTCCACATTTGGGGCCCTCAGGAAGTGTAAAGGGCCATACTTGGGGCCCTCAGGAAGTGTAAAGCGCCAAGCTTGTACCCTCAGGAAGTGTAAAGGGACACACTTTAAAGGGCCCTCAGGAAGTGTCAGGAAAAGGGCCATGTCTTGGGGCCCCAGGAAGTGTAAAGTGCCACACTTGTCAGGAAGTGAACTTGGGGTGTAAAAAAGGCCATAAAGGGACATTCTTGGGGCCCTCAGGAAGTGTAAAAAAGGCTCACACACTTGGGGCCCTCAGAAAGTGTAAAGGGCCACACTTGCGGCCTCAAGAAGATACCTCTTCATTTATGTCCTAAAATCACAGAATCCCGTATTTGCACCCCAGAGGGCCGCTGTTGCGTGTATATACAGCATAGGACAGTCTAGGTGTTGCAGCTGAAGTTGCAGGCGGCCTCTGACTGCGGCAAATCCTTGCATTCCGGTGTTTCTCTGCGATTTGGAAAACGTTGAATCAAATGTTATTCCCTGTCTATGTTACCATACGGCTGGGTCTGTCTCCTCGCCACGTCCTGGCGCAGTGTTCGCCACCTGAGCCGTTTCCCCGTTTTTGCAGCGGCTGCGCGGTGTCACAGCTGTGCCGAGGATTCACGCTTTGCCGGGGCGGTAAAATGTCACAGGCCGCAGAGAAGCTTGTGAGCAGTAAGTTCGCCCGACACTTTGATGGATGCCGGCGACATTTGTGCCCGCGCGCCTCGGGGAAATCGCTTGTAAATTATTGGCTAACAAAGACCGCCAGTACGGCGCCGACTCTTGGCCGGGCTGTGCAAAAATCAAACACGTCCTGGAAGAAGAAGATAAACTATTTAAATTCTGCGGCGGGGAATTGCGAGGCGGCGCCGCGGCTGGAACGTCGTGCCGTGTTCCTAACAAGACCGCCACAAGTGGAAATCTAAAGGCTTTCATTTCATTATTTACCCTTTTACTTTATTATCTGATGTTATTCAGCTAAAAGACATTCTTTTTGTTGAATATGGCAGCCCCTGGTCACATGATCTGTGCCGGCGGATTGGTCACATGATCTGTGCCGGCGGATTGGTCACATGATCTGTGCCAGCGGATTGGTCACATGATCTGTGCCAGCGGATTGGTCACATGATCTGCGCCAGCGGATTGGTCACATAGTCTCCGCTAAAGATTATAGTTCAGGTAGAGCTACTTAAATATGACCTCCAGATCCTCCCCTTCAGTCTTGCACAGGTGTACTGGCTCCTCCCCTTCAGTCTTGCACAGGTGTACCGGCTCCTCCCCTTTAGTCTTGCACAGGTGAACTGGCTCCTCCCCTTTAGTCTTCCACAGGTGTAATGGCTCCTCCCTTCCAGTTTTGCACAGTTGTACCGGCTCCTCCCCTTCAGTCTTGCACAGGTGTATCGGCTCCTCCCCTTCAGTCTTGCACAGGTGTACCGGCTCCTCCCCTTTAGTCTTGCACAGGTGAACTGGCTCCTCCCCTTTAGTCTTCCACAGGTGTAATGGCTCCTCCCTTCCAGTCTTGCACAGGTGTACCGGCTCCTCCCCTTCAGTCTTGCACAGGTGTACCAGCTCCTCCCCTTCAGTCTTGCACAGTTGTATCAGCTCCTCCCCTTCAGTCTTGCACAGGTGTACTGGCTCCTCCCCTTCAGTCTTGCACAGGTGTACCGGCTCCTCCCCTTCAGTCTTGCACAGGTGTACCGGCTCCTCCCCTTCAGTCTTGCAAAGTTGTACCAGCTCCTCCCCTTCATTCTTGAACAGGTGTACCAGCTCCTCCCCCTCAGTCTTGCACAGGTGTACCGGCTCCTCCCCTTCATTCTTGCAGAGGTGTGTACCGGCTCCTCCCCTTCAGTCTTGCACAGGTGTACCGGCTCCTCCCCTTCAGTCTTGCACAGGTGTACTGGCTCCTCCCCTTCGGTCTTCCACAGGTGTATTGGCTCCTCCCCTTCAGTCTTGCACAGGTGTACCGGCTCCTCCCCTTCAGTCTTGCACAGGTGTACCAGCTCCTCCCCTCCAGGCATGCACAGGTGTACCGGCTCCTCCCCTGGACTGAAATGGCTTCCTCTGATATCACTGCACACTGGGAGCGTCTCACAATGTGCATTAGAAGCTGCAGCCAATCAGGTAGAGCCCCGTCTTATTTCCTGGCTGGAGGATGTCCAACATCATCCAGCCCTTTCCTCTCCAGTCTGCCCTAGGCCCGCCCCTTTCATTCTTGGGATCTTTGTTCTTCATAGAGCATCACATGTGGGCGTTACCTAGGGTGGTCTGCATGCACATAGGAACACCCACTCACTCCTCCTCCGATATCCACTCATCAATGCATTTTGATATTTGCATAACTCCTCCCAAGAGCCAACCCATTGCTTGCATCAGGACTGAGGGCTCTTGAGAGGAGGCAGGGTGCTGTGATATACCTACAGGTACAACCCCCTACTGGCCCTTCCCACCACCCATGATTTGCCTGCATTGCACAGAGAAGCACTGAGACCCAGTGATGACATCACTAAGTCTAAAATAAGGTATGTAATAAAAACAGAAAGGTTGAAAAATTTCATTATCCTGTTAATTTAAGTTGATCAAACTTCAGATTTTAAGTGGAAGAAAAGCCCAAATCTAACTATTTTTAAAAATAGAGTAAAAATCCCCCCCCCCCCCACCTATGACAAAGATGAGTGTACTTACCTATTTTTCATGACATCACACAGGGCCCTGCCATTGTCTGTGCTCCCTCCTCTCCCCTGCAGCAGTCTCTCACATAGTGAGGCTGGAGCTGCAGGATCATGTGACCGGACTGGAGAGGATTCAAAATAGGTAAGTACACACGTTCTCTGTATACAGGTTAGGCAGGATAGGTAGGTGGAAGGGGGAGGGAACATTTTAAGATGTGTTAGACGTAGGCTTTTCTTCCACTTTAATGGCTGTGTCAGGACCTGGATCACCTGCTGGTGGCACTGCGCTTCCCAGAGCGGAAGGCTGTAGTTCTGGTGTTCCCCAGCAGGTGTCTCCCAGCAACCAGCAGATCCCAGTAATCAGTTTCCACCTGATGCTGGCTGCTGGGAGGGTATTTACTTCCTCCTCTATTTTTCTCTCTGGCTCAAGTGTTTTGCTTTGCTGCCAGATGACATCATGACATCACCCATGGCCCTGCCATTGTCTGCGCTGCCTCCTCTCCCCATCAGCAGTTTCTGACATAGTGGAGCTACAGGATCATGTGACCGGACTGGAGAGGATTCAAAATAGGTAAGTACACATTTTCTGTATACAGGTTAGGCACGTTAGGTAGGCGGAAGGGGGAGGGAACATTTTAAGATGTGTTAGACGTAGCCTTTTCTTCCACTTTAATGGCTGTGTCAGGACCTGGATCACCTGCTGGTGGCACTGTGCTTCCCAGAGCGGAAGGCTGTAGTTCTGGTGTTCACCAGCTGGTGTCTCCCAGCAGCCAGCAGATTCTAGTAATCAGTTTCCACCTGATGCTGGCTGCTGGGAGAGTATTTAGTTCCTCTTCTATATTTCCCTCTGGCTCAAATGTTTTGCTTTGCTGCCAGATGACATCATGACATCACCCATGGCCCTGCCATTGTCTGTGCTCCCTCCTCTCCCCATCAGCAGACTCTGACATAGTGGAGCTGGAGCTGCAGGATCATGTCCCGGACTGGAGAGGATTCAAAATAGGTAAGTACACATTTTCTGTATACAGATTAGGCAGGATAGGTAGGGGGAGGGAACATTTTAAGAATAGTTAGGCTTAGGCTTTTCTTCCACTTTAATGACTGTGTAAGGACCTGGATCACCTGCTGGTGGCGCTGTGCTTCCCAGAGCAGAAGGATGTAGTTTTGGTTTCCACCAGCTGGTGTCTCCCAGCAGCCAGCAGATCCCAGTAATCAGTTTCCACCCGATGCTGGCTGCTGGGAGGGTATTTAAAGTTTTGCTTTGCTGCCAGATACTGTTAGCTGTTTATCCTGTTCCTGCTCCTGATTTTGTTTATGCCATGTACCCGTACCCCTGCTGCCTTGTACCTTCTCCCCCAGTTTTGGTTCCCCCTTCCCATCTGCTCCTTGCACCTCCAGTTTTACCTTGCTTTTCTGTGTTCCCGATATCTATATATTGTATAGAGCTAGTTAGGCTTTCTGTTAGTCTGTCAGGTTGTTAGGTATTTTGTCACTGAGTTTTTGGGTCACTTATATCTTTATGTTTGCTGTACATTCTGTTCTACTGGTGTTTTGGGTGTTTTTTGGTTTCACTGTAAGGTTGTAAGTGCCCTAGATTGATTGCAGAGTGTCATACCTGAGGGGTGCCACCTTTAACACCCTAAATTGTGACAGGAGGAGCGCACCACACCAGCTTGTATTGTCCTTTGGATGGTTTTATTTGGCGACAGCCATCGTGCTCAGCACATCCCTGGGAATGAGTGTCAAGCTCTACCAGGGGCGGAATGACCGTTTGGAAACTCGGGCAGTGTCCGAGGGCCCGGGGTCAGTAGGGGGCCCCATGAGATGCCCCTGGTACCTTTTTCATAGGGTTTTTTTGAGTTTGGGCAAGGACACAGGGGCCCCATGATCCCCTATTGCCCGGGGGCCCCATGAGTTGTCAGTCCAGCCCTGGTCCCATCATGCCTCTGCCTTTGGTAGTCATGCTTGTAACTGTCAGTTTTGCAATGCCTCATGGGACTTGTAGTTCTACAACAGCTGGAGGGCCACAGTTGCCCACCCCTGTCCTAGAGGTTGCTCATCATCAACGAAGAGGTCATTTTTGAAATGACCGGGGGCCCCATGAGTTGTCAGTCCGCCCCTGGTCCAGACTTGACAAGCGGACAAATGACAGAACGGCTCGTGTGGCGATGATATATACATTGTATCTCATGGGGTCCGGGGTCAGTAGGGGGCCCCATGAGATGCCCCTGGTACCTTTTTCATAGGCTTTTTTGAGTTTGTGCAAGAACACAGGGGCCCCATGATCCCCTATTGCCCGGGGGCCCCATGAGTTGTCAGTCCGCCCCTGGGCTCTACATACACCATCAAACAGCCTGCAGCCTCTCTCAGATCCCACCTGGCTCCTGTGGCACACATATCCCTTCTTTCATCCCTTCTTCTGGGGGGAGGTGCTGCCCCCCTGAAAAATGGTGCCCTAGGCAAGTGCCTTGTTTGCCGTGTGGTAAATACGCCCCTGCACACAGGCACCTAGATTGGCAAAGCACCCAAAACGGGTTGAATGTTGCAAAATAAAATCTTTCAAAGGACTATACAGGCTGGTGTGGCGCTCCCATCCTTTCAAAAATGACCTCTTCGTTGATGATGAGCAACCTCTAGGACAGGGGTGGGCAACTGTGACCCTCCTCCATGAGGCATTGCAAAACTGACAGTTACAAGCATGACTCCCAAAGGCAGAGGCATGATGGGACCAGGGGCGGACTGACAACTCATGGGGCCCCCGGGCAATAGGGGATCATGGGGCCCCTGTGTCGTTGCCCAAACTCAAAAAAGCCTATGAAAAAGGTACCAGGGGCATCTCATGGGGCCCCCTACTGACCCCGGGCTCTCGGGCAGTGCCCGAGTTTCCAAATGGTCAGTCCACCCCTGGATGGGGCTTGTAGTTCACCAACAGCTGGAGGGCCACAGTTGCCCACCTCTGCTCTAGGACCACAAACCAGCCATCATGCTATATCTTATCTCCATACGGGTCAGCGCTCCTACATCCCAAAGACTGAATGTGCCTGGATGCGCTCGGTTTCCCAATCAACACTGCCTCCCTCCCGTGGAGCTATTGTGTTCTCCCGGCGGGGAGTCGTCCCGGTAAAAATCAGATATGATGGTTGTAGCCAAGTCATTAGAAGGATTTACTTGGGTACAGTCAGTCTGCCCATAAGTAGTTCAAATCTCATCAACTGACCAAGATTCGAACCATCTATGGCTGGCTTTTGGATGTATCCAATTGCCTTAGGGCACGGGTGTCGAACTGGCGGCCCTCCAGCTGTTGCCAAACTACAAGTTCCATGAGGCATTAATATAAAAGGCAGGTGCATCGCTGAGATCAAAATATCAAATGTCAAATAAAGGGCAATAAGTCAAAAGGTGCAAAGGCAATTATAAAATGCATATAAACCAGCAGAAATAAATATATCACTGTATCAAAGTAGTATGTAAAGTGATATAAGTGCATATAAAGTGACATAAATCATGACATATATGAGTCCATAAAGTGACAAAGTGAAAATTATATATATACTGTCACTCAAGGTGACTAATGGCGCTGAGTATAGTGACAATGTCCAAAAGGAAAGTGAAGATCCAGTAATATGATCTCAGGGTATGGTGATCCACTTTCTATATCCAATCATATGGTGATGTGTCAGGTAATAGAAGAATTGCGCACTCACCAGATGCGCAATATAATCACGCATTAGAGAACATAAACTCTCAATAGGACAGCTGAAGATCCTCTTAAAGGTATGCACAGCCTGGTCTGGACTTCCCCCTCTGAACCATCCGTGGGCAGCAGTACCTCTATCTTCCTCATTATACAGCTCGCTCAGTGTGTTGTCACCTGTCCCCGCCGATGTCCTTCACATGCCCTGGTGCTTCCAGTCTCCTCGGGTTGTAATAATCACACCGGCCCGGATCTGATCCTCGGCATGTCCGCAGCTGTGAGGACTACAAGGTGAGGGGTGTGACTAGGGGCGGACTGACCATTTGGGAACTGGGGCGCTGCCCGAGGGCCTTGGGTCAGTAGGGGGCCCCAGGTAATGCCCCTGGTACATTTCATAGGCTTTTTTGGGTGTGGTTTGAGTGTAGGCAAGGACACAGGGGCCCCATGATCCCGTATTGCCTGGGGGCCCGATGAGTTGTCAGTCCGCCCCTGGGTGTGAGCCGAAATGGCCAATAGGAGGCATGAAGGGGTGGCTGACTGCGCACAGTGATTGACAAGTACAAGCATGACTCCCAAAGGCAGAGGCATGATGGGACTTGTAGTTTGGCAACAGCTGGAGGGCCGCCAGTTTGACACCCCTGCCTTAGGGTATCAAGAAAGTATTTTTCCTCCTTGC